GGCTATGTCCATGTGGACACAGACCACAGATGTGGGCACACGAATCCATCCGCCTGTCCACGTGCACACGTGAATGTAGCAACAGATATTTGGACATCAAATTTGGACACCAGGTCACAGAGAACACAGAGAAACACAGACACCACCCAGGAACACGCAGACATATGCCCACAGCATCCCATAGGCCCAGGCAGGAGGTCCCACCCCAGACCCCGCCCCAGACGCTCCCTCACCCTCTTGGCCCCCTTGCCCTGGCCCCCAGGTTCTCTGCAGAGATCTCTCCTGGACCCCCAGTGGTCTCCTTGGCGCCCACGAACACAGGCGTGCACACGCAGCGCACATGCATTGAGACACACGATACCTCGTTCCACCTTGGCGCATGGTGGGCTGGAGGCAGCCCCCCCCCACAACACTTGAGGCCAAAGGACACCCCTGTCCCCGGGGCTCAGCCTCCCCCTGGGCCGAGGCCTTGACCCATGCAGCTGAGGGAGAGGCCCAGTCCTGAGCCTCCCCCACCAGGACTGGGCCTACCCAGCAGCAAGCCCCCCGGCACTCCCCGCCAGGCCCAGGGTGGGGTGGACGGGCCCAAAGGCCCAGCCCCACACTCCTTTCCCGTCCACTTGTCACCTACCTACCCCCTTTTGGTTTGTTGGGTTTTTCGTCTTTCCAGATTGCAGTGGACACAGCCCCCGATCTCGAGCCCCGGCCCCCGGCTTCTGTCTGGACATTGCATCGCCCTAGTTTTCTTTCTTTAAAAAAAAAAAAAAAAAATTCCAACAGAAGCCACAGGCCAGAGCCCCTGGGAGCCCTCGCACCGCTCCCCACCCGCCTCAGTGGCCCCATCAGAACTGAGAATTGCAAAACCCCGACTTATAGCTATAGTTAAGTTGCCTTCCCCCGGTGTCCCCACGTTTGGTGTCTGGCTATGGCGCCCCCCATCTGACTGTCCAGCTCTCTCTCCCCCACCCCTCCCGGTGTTGTTATTAAACGTCTGTGGAGCTTCTGCTGCAAGGAACAAAAAAGAAAAAAAATCAAAAAAGCGACAAAAAAATACAAACAGAAGAGGAAAAAAAAAAGCAACAAAAAAAGAAAACACACAGAAGAGATTTAAAAAAAAAAAAGGAAAAAAAAAAAGACATAAACTGGCACCAGTTAACTTTCTTGTACTTTTTTGCTGAATTTAGCTTCTTGTAGTTTTAACTTATTGCTATGTTAACTATTTATTCTCCTCGTTGCCCTGTAAGGACATCCGTGTATATTTCTGTTACTTCATCCGGTTTGCAAGTCAAAGGAACAACAATGTTCTCTTTGTTTCTTTAAGTTTTGCCGAGACATGGTTAAGCCTAATTTATTTATAAAAGGGGAAGTGGAATCATTAAAGTAATAATAATTATTAATAACAGTAATGGTAGCCGAGTGGCACGTGGGGGCGTGTGCTCTGCGGGGCAGTCCCCACGGCCAGCGACGTCCAGGTCATCCATGGGATTCTTTTTGCTCTTGTCTTGAGAATTTTTTCAGTCCCATTTAGCTGGTGAAATCCCTAGCTTGTTCTTGATACACAAACCTATTTATTCTTGTGGTTTTAAGTCCTCCCTGCCCTCTCCCCTCTCCCCTCCAGCAGGGCAGGGACCCCTCTCCCCTGCTGTCCCTTGGGGCTCTCTCCCCTCCGCCCTCTGCATTCGGGAACACGCATCTCTGCGTGGGAAGCTTGCAGCAGGGCGTCCGAGCAATAAGGGCTGGGTTTGTCCCCCACCCTGGGGGGGGCCAGGCTCCAGAGAGGGGGCACCTCCCCACACACCCCCCCCACCGAGGCCTAGGCCCCTGCTGCCCCCAAGACTGGGAGGGGACTTCTTTTTCTAAAACACAAAACTCAGCCCAGCCAGGCCCCCTCCCTGGAGGCCAGCACCTCCCCGCAGGGGGCCAGGCCAGGGCTCCCAGGGGAGGGGGACTCGGGTCTTCCATGTCCCTGGGGGGCAGGGGCCAGGCCAGGGGGGAGGGGGCTCAGCCCCTCCACCCCTCCCTTCATCCTGTTATTTATTCGGAAGGTTTCAAATCACGACAGAGTCCATGTTGGAGGTGATAAAAAACTGTAAAAAAAAAAAAAAAAAAAAAAAAGACAAAAAAAAAAAAAAAAAAAAAAAAAAAACCCAACAAGAACATTTCGCGTTGCGTTTAGACTATTTATTACCGGGATCACAGGCCTGGCCGCGGTAACAGACTTTTACATGGAATTGTTTAATTATTTGTACTTTTCATGCCAGAAAATAAAAGTTCAGAATCTTAAGGCCTTGGGTCATCTCTGCACAGCTGCGCGGGGAGCATGCAGGAGCATCCTGTGTGGTGGTACCCAGGCCCCTGTCCTCCTCTGGGCCTGGGTCTGTCTGCAGCAGGGGCTTTGGTCCCAGGAGGGAGCCCTTGGCCTCCACAGAGCACAGATGAGACCCAGGGAGGGTGGGACACGGGCTCGGATGGATGCTCAGACGGAAGTGGTCCAGGGTTCATCCATCTGGTATCTTCAGGAGTGAGCCCCACATGGCAAGGGGAGGCCTGGGCAGGATCTGCAGACAGCAGAGTCCCCTGCGCTCAACCCCTGCCCACACCCCGGTCCACACCCCAGCAACGCAAGACAAACGCAGGCAAGTTTGGGTGGGGGATCACATTTATTGTATTGAGGTCACAGGTCAAGTCATTCACTGGTCCCCACCAGGAGGAGTGGCAGGGACAGGGCTGGGGTGGTGGGGTGAGTCACCAAGGTGGGGGGCCCAGGGAGGGCAAGCTCCTTTACCCATCTTTGGAGGCCATTGGGGCCTGGGAATGTGGACCAGCCCTGCCTGGGCCCCAGAACAGGGCACGAAGCCCCACAAAGGTCCTGCCCCACAGAGGAGGGCAACAGAGCCACAGGCAGCCCCGGACAGAGGGGCGGGTGGACGGCACTGCAGGGGCCGGCTTCATGCCTTCTTGCGGTTCTGGGGCAGGAGAAAGACCAGATTAGAAAGCTGGGGACGGCCGGGCACGGTGGTGTTTGTCTGTGGTCCCGGCTGCTTGGGAGGCTGAGGTGGGAAGATCACTTGAGGCCAGGAGTTGACCAGCCTGGAGACCTTGTCCATTTTCTCTTCTTTTTTTTTTTTTTAAGAGAGTCTCACTCTGTAACCCAGGCTGAAGAGTGTACTAGCATGATCTTGGCTCCATCTCCAACCTCCACCTCCAGGGTTCAAGTGATTCTTATGCTTCAGCTTCTCGAGCAGCTGGGACTACAGGCACCTACCACCGCACCCAGCTAATTTTTTTGTATTTTTAGTAGAGACAGGGTTTCACCATGTTGGTCAGGCTGGTCTCAAACTCCTGACCTCAAGTGATCCACCCGCCTCAGCCTCCCAAAGTGCTGGGATTAGAGATGTGAGCCACCACGCCTGGCCTATTTGTTTTCAAAAGTAAAAAAACAAAACAAAACCAAACAAAACCTTCTTTTAAAAAGCAGGGGATGGCCGGACACGGTAGCTCATGCCTGTAATCCCAACACTTTGGGAGGCCGAGGAGGGCGGATCATGAGGTCAGGAGATTGAGACCAACCTGGCTAACACAGTGAAACCCCGTCTCTACTAAAAATACAAAAAAATTAGCCGCGTGTGGTGACGGGCGCCTGTAGTCCCAGCTACTCGGGAGGCTGAGGCAGGAGAATGGCGTGAACCCAGGAGGTGGAGGTCGCAGTGAGCCGAGATCACGCCACTGCACTCCACATTCCAGCCTTGGCAACAAGAGTGAAACTCCATCAAAAAAAAAAAGCTAGGGGATGGCCGGGCACGGTGGTTCATACCTATAACCCCAGCATTTTGGGAGGCCGAGGCAGGTGGATCATCTGAGGTCAGGAGTTCGAGACCATCCTGGCTAACATGATGAAACCCTGTCTACTAAAAATACAAAAATTAACCAGGCGTGGTGGTGCATGCCTGTAGTCCCAACTACTTAGAAGGCTGACAGGAGAATTTTTTGAACCCAGGAGGTGGAGGTTGCAGGGAGCTGAGATTGCATCACTGCACTCCAGCCTGGGCAAAAGAGTGAGACTCCACCTCAAAAAAAAAAAGAAAAAAAAAAAGCATGGGACACGGGCACACAGGTTGATAGAGTGGCCATGTGGGTCCAACTTCCTCAGGGGCCCACCGCCTCCCCTTGCTGGGGCAGGCCGAGACTCCACCTCCCCACCCACCTCTGCGCCCATCCAGCTAGAGCTCGTCATGGTCGTCTTCGGTGGGTGCTTCAGGCGGTGGCTCCAGGCAGGCGGCTGGCGTCATCAGCTCCATGAGGTACTCGCAGCGACTGGGCTCCGTGGTGCTGGTCACCATGGTCTCTTTCCCGCATAGGAGGCGCACCTGGGGATGGGCAGACGGGCGCTCAGGAGGGTTCGGCTGGGCCAGGCCTGGGTCTCCCCACCCCGCCTCCCCACCCTGCAGGCACTCACGGTGGTGGAGCGGTTGGGGCCCTGCCAGCAGCCCGTGCCTTGCTCATACTTCATGGCACTGAACCTGTCGTGCTCGGGGCCAGCCCAGGAGCCCCAGGTGCTGCAAGAGACACAGGGTGCTGAGGGCTCGGCTGGTGTCGGGCACCAGGAGGAGGAAGAGGGAAGGGGCCAGCCCATGACACTCACCCGAGGCTGGTGGGAGAGCCCCCAAGTTTGGGTTTCTGCGAGACAAGCTTGAAGGGGCAGAGGCGGTAGACGTACCTGAGGAGGACCAGGCAATATGGGTGGGGGGACGCAGGGATCCCGGCCTCCTCCCGCGGCCCCTCCCTACCTCCTCCTGTCCCCGTGCACAGGGCACCTCCAACTCCAATCACCAACCCAAAGCCTGGTCCCTGGCTTCTGCTCCCCCTCAATATGGAGGGCAGCACTCTCAGGCCCCACCCTGCAGGTGGTTCCCCAGCCATCAGGAAACTGCCGGTGCCGCTTCCAGGGCCACCCGCCTCCCCCCCTGCCGGTGGGGGCCCCTGCACCCCTGGGACGCACTCGTTGGTGGTGAGCTCGTAGCACTGGCTGTACAGGTACGCAAACTCCCCGTTGGGGCCAAAGTCAAAAGAAATCTCTTGCTCCAGGTTCCTGGAAGTGGAGGCAGAGCGGTTAAAGGGCAGCTGGGGACGCCAGCGCCTGCCCCAGGACGACAGACACAGGAGGGCCTGGGTGAGCTGTGGTGCCCAGGCTGTCCTCCCTGCCACCTCCGGAGAACCCTCCCTGCAGGGGCCAGGCCCAGCCTGCGGTTGCCTCAGTGATTCCCCACGACTGGCTCCCCTGGGAGCCGGGGAGCAGGCACTGTGGGACGGGTGTCCCGCCTCCTCAGCCCCCGCTACCTGATGGACTCCTCCATGTCCTTCAGCGACCGCTCGGCCTCCTCGAACTTGTTGCGGGCCTCCTGGGCAGCTGGGGGAGGGGCTGGAGGTCAGAGACGTCCTCACCCCCACCCAGGAGGATGGGGAACGGGGTTCCACGGATGCGGCTGTGTCCTCCTCTACGCTGATTTTGCTTTGGCCAAGGGCTTTGCCCAGACAGACCTGAGGGCCTCACCAGCTACGGAACAGCCCCAACTTGCTGCCCAGGCTTGCGGCTCCGGAGGGACTGGGGCCAGGACTCCTGGGGCCCGCCAGGAGCGACACAAACAAACTGCGGCCCTCGGGGAGGCAGAAGGGCCCCTTGGGGTTGGCGAGGGTGGGACTGGCTTACTCCAGGCCCCCTTCCTGGACTCCCCAAGATACTGGGGCGTGTGCTGGCCGAGTCAGAGCAGGGGCTGAGCTCAGGATCTTCCCCTGATCTACGCCACCACAGCAGGAAACGCTGGGCCCACCCAAGGAGCCGGGCCCCTGCCCGCCCTCACCATCGATGAAGGCCTGCGTCTGCTCGTCGTACGGCGGCATCTTGTCTTCCTCGGCAGGGCTGGCTGGCTGCGGGGGTGCCAGTGGCAGTAGGGCCTCCTGGGGAAGGGGCAGGGTCAGTGAGCAGCCCTTCCCCCACCCTCTCTGTCTCCCCTTCTCCCCCAAACACAGACCTTGGGCTGCTCCCCCTGCACCTCAGAATCCTCCTCCTCCTCCTCTTCTTCTTCAGCCTCCTCTTCTTCCTCCTCCTCCTCCTCCTCTTCCGTGGGTGGCGAGGGCACTGGTGGCTGCTCCTCCTTGGGCTCCGTCAAGTCAGGGGCAGAAGGTGCTGGAAGGTCAGTGGGCAGTGCCTGGCGGGTGAGCAGCGTGGTCGGTGCTGTGGACTCAGGGTTCACCCACACCCTCAGGCTCACACCACAGCCCAAGGGGCAGCCTCGGCGTCTCTGCCCCTCCTGCGGGGCCTGCAGGGAGGACCGACAGCTGGGGTGGGGGAGCCTCTGTGGGGGGTGCTGGGGCCGCCCAGCTGGCCAGGGTGGCCGGGTGCCAGAACTGGAGGCAGCTCCTTTGTGAGGCGGGGTGGGGCCAGTGTCAGAGGAGGACCAAGTCCCCTCCCTTGCCCTCCACTGACCTCGGACCGGTACTTGTCCCTGATGGCGGCCCAGACGCGGTCGAAGAAAGAGGTGGCGTCTGTCTGTGTGTCCCCGCTGAGGAGGGCCTGTGTGTGTTGGGGGTGGTGTCAAGATCTAGGCCACCACGTGTCCCCTTTCCCGGCCACCCCAGGCACCCGCACTGTGGTGCCAGGCACGGGAGGGCTGGGCCCTGGGCCCTTATGACCAGGCCGGGGCCACGCCACTGAGGCACTGCGGCCAGAAGGGGGCAGCACAGGCCCGTGGGAGGGGAGGAGGGGGCCGCGGGCTGCAGTGGTTGGGGGCACTGAGACAGAAAGAGAGAGGCAGACAGACGGATGGACGGACAACGGACGTACAGACGGAGGAAGAGAGAGCCCAGGATCAGAGAGGGCCAGGCCCTCCAAGGGAGAGGCCAAGGCCAAGGCTGCAGAGGGACAGGGAGAAACTCAGGGGAGGGCAGAGAAGGGGGGCAAAAAGCCAGGGGCCACAGGGAAGGAGGGGAATAGGAAAGGAGACGGACTGCGGAAGATGGGGGTGGGGAGGAGGGGAATCGGGGAGGAGGGAAATAGGGCGGGACAGGGATAGGGGAGAAAGGGGACTGGGTGCTCAAACAGCAGGGACAGTGGGGGCAGGCGGGGGAAACGGGCTCCAGCCCGACCTGGCTCCATCCCGGGTCCTGCCAGGTGGGAAGCAGCCCTGAGTGGCTGCCATCCATCCCAGCTCACCAGAGGAGGCGTCCCAGGCCAGCAGGGAGCTTTCCTTGGTTCCCCACCTGTGCCCTGAGGTCACCCTGGGGCAATGCTTCCAGAAGTCCCCAGCCAAGGGGCAGCCGAGGTACCTGAGCTTCTGCTTCCGACAACGCCCCATCCCCATCTGTGTCCAGCTCTGGATGAGTCTGCAGCTCGGTCACCGAGACCCTGTGGGGGCGTGGTAGAAACAGACTGGAGGGGTGATGCCCCAAAGGCTCTCAGTTGGGGGCACCACGTGGCCCACCTGCTCTTCCCTGCCAGGGCCTACCCTGAACTTGCTTCAGGAACTCAAGGTGCAGGGGCCTCCCCGCCTTCCTGCCCCTTCCTCAGGACTCCATGACCCCAAAGGGGCTCAAAGTAAGTGGTGGGACTGGGAGATACCTGGACCCCCAAATCCCTGATGACCTCTCTCCCAACTCACCCAGGTGGCACCTCCTTCCACCCTCAGAACCCGGCACATTGAAGCCATCTACCTTGGTCCTCCACCCAGCAAAGCCCACCCCCACCCTTGCCCATTCTGCCCATTTGGTCCCTCTGAAGCCCCCTGCTCCTTGGCACCCCACATCTCCTAGGCTCCTCGTGTGTCCCTCAGCCCCCAAAAGTCCACCCTCCACCAGGTAACCCAGCAAGTTCAGAGGCACAGCCAGGATTCTACCCAGAGCGTAGAGTGGGGCTGGGAAAAGCAATCCTCAAAAAACACTTCCTGAGGCTGAGGGTCTGTGCCCAGCTCCCATCATTGGACGCCTAGCCACTCTTCCTGAGGCTGAGGGTCTGTGCTCAGCTCCGATCACTGGACGCCTAGCCACTCTTCCTGGGGCTGAGGGTCTGTGCCCAGCTCCTGGGGAGAAGGTGGTCCCCCTATCTCCTCGCCCAGGGCATCCTGGACCCAGCCATCCATGAGTAAGAGGCGGGGTCACACAGGGCTTGGGATCAGCCTGGACCCCATGACGGGGGAACCCAGGGGGAGCTCTGGCTGGTTTCTAGAGGCGAGGGTGGCAGGAAGGGAAACCCAGGCCCATGGAAGGGGGCGCAGCTCCAACTTGGGGACACTCACGTCCCGTCCATGTCGTCATCCAGCTCCTGGAAGGCATCAGCCGCCAGCTCCTGCTCCCGTTGGGCCTTGGCGGCAGCCAGCTGCTCTGTAAAGAAGCCACCTCTGTCACCCCCTGCCCACCCACTGGCTCCCACCAACCCCACACCCCACAGGGTCATTTGCCACTAAGTGCCTACTATGTGCCTGGCCCCAGGCTGGACCCTGGGGACACGACTGTGGAGGAGACAAAGGTCCCTGCCCTTCCCGGGGGAGGACAGACGAGGAGCAAGGTGGCTGGTTGAAGCCTGGTTGTGTTGGGGGAGACTGGGGCAGGGTGGGGAGTGCAGGGGCAGAGGCCCACCCGTGGGGCTGGAGCAAGGAGGTGGGAAGCCAGGTGGCAGAGGGCGGCCCTGTCAGGCCACTGTTGGGACAGAGGTGGGGGCGAGGGCGGAAGCCAGGTGACAACAAGGGATGGCCCAGGCTGGGGGCCGAGGAAGAAGCACAGAGCAGAGGAAGATTCTGGGGAGACGCGCATGGGGTGTGCAGACAGTCAGAGGTGGGAGATGGGGTTGGGGAGAGGAGAGCGGCCACTGAGACTTTAGGTTTAGGACCTGGCAGAGGCATGTCAGGGGCAGGGCTGCCAGGAATGAGACTTCATGGCCAAGGACGCTGGGAGATAGGGAGGATACAGGGAGGGAGAACGGTCCTGGGGGCATCTTGGGGATCCCCAGGGCTAGTCCCAGGAAGAGTGGCCAGCCGGACAGAAGGGGACCGAGCCTCTGTCCCAAAAGTCCCTCCTTTATCTGTCATTACTTTATCTAACCTAAGCAGAGGGGGAAGCAGCCACAACAGTGGCTCCAATGATTAAGTGCCTACTGTATACCAGGATTCATTTCCCACTGTATACCAAGCTCCAGCTTGGTCCTCTACGAACAGAATAAAAACAGCGGGTATTTCCTCTAGAGAGTCCTGGGTCACCCCAGGAGATGCCACATGTCCCAGCAGACCTGGCTGACACTGTTCTGAGTCTCATAGATGAGGGCCTGAGGGGTCCCTGACCTTTCCATGGGTGAAGGCACCTGTCCATCATCACCCAGTCAGGGAGAGGTGTAGCCTGGGGCCCAAACCAGGCCATTTGCCCTCGGAGCCCTGGCTCAGCCCCACCACCCTTTGGGAATCTGGGTCAAAACACGGCGCTTCCCTATGATTCCACAGCTGCACACTGAGAACACGTCCTGAGGAAAATCAGGCCTGAAGCTGCCCACACCCACGTGAAAGGAAGCTCGCAGCACGGCAAAGGTTCAGGGGCAGACAGAGCCAGTGAACTCCCACTCTACGTGCAATGCGGCCTTGCCAAAAAAACACCAGGCCCTAGCACCAAAAACAAATAAAGAAAGGAAATCATATCTTCAGTCGCAGACAGAGCTGGGCGTCGTGGCTCATGCCTGTAATCCCAACACTTTGGGAGGTCAAAGCAGGCCACCTGAGGTCAGGAGTTCGAGACCAGCCTGGCCAACATCGTGAAACCCCATCTCCACTAAGAATACAAAAATTAGCTGGCTGTGGTGGCAGGTGCCTGTAATCCCAGCTACTCAGGAAGCCTAGGCAGGAGAATCACTTGAATCCAGGAGGTGGAGGTTGCAGTGAGCACAGATCATGCCATTGGCACTGCAGCCTACGCAACAGAGCGAGACTCCATCTCAAAAATAAATAAATTAAAAAAATTTTTCAGTTGCAGACAAAAGGACAAACCCCAGATAGATAAAGCTCTTTTATTATTATTATTATTATTTTAGATGAAGTCTTGCTCTGTCACCCAGGCTGGAGTGCAGTCAGCTCACTGCAACCTCTGTCTCCCGGGTTCCAGCGCTTCTCCTGCCTCAGCTTCCCGAGTAGCTGGGACCACAGGCAGACACCACCACACCCAGCTAATTTTTGGTTGGTTGGTTGGTTTGAGACTGAGTCTCACTCTGTTGCCAGGCTGGAATACAGGGGCGCAATCTCGGCTCACTGAAACCTCCAACTTCCTGGTTCAAGGGATTCTCCTGCCTCAGCCTCCCAAGTAGCTGGGATTACAGGCACGCACCACCATGTCCAGCTAATTTTTGTATTTTTAGTAGAGATGAGTTCCACCATGTTGGTCAGGATGGTCTCAATCTCCTGACCTCGTGATCCGCCTGCCTCAGCCTCCCAAAGTGCTGGGATTATAGGCCTGAGCCACTGCGCCTGGCTGTATTTTTTTCTTTTTTTTCTTGAGATGGAGTCTCGCTCTGTTGCCCAGGCTGGAGTGCAGTGGCTCGATCTAGGCTCACTGCAAGCTCTGCCTCCCAGGTTCACGCCATTCTCCTGCCTCAGCCTCCTGAGTAGCTGGGACTACAGGTGCCCGCCACCACGCCCGGCTAATTTTTTTGTTATTTCTTTTAGTAGAGACAGGGTTTCACTGTGTTAGCCAGGATGGTCTCAATCTCCTGATCTCGTGATCTGCCGGCCTCGGCCTCCCAAAGTGCTGGGATTACAGGTGTGAGCCACTGCGCCTGGCCAAAAAAAAGCTCTTACAATTAGTGAAGACAAATACCAAACACTTGATAGGAAAAATGGTCACTGGATTAAGTTAAGTCCTGCTAAAGTCAAATAACAAAATCTACCTTGATGTTAAAAGGATGTAGGCGGCCAGGCGTGGTGGCTTGCGCCTGTAATCCCAACACTTTGGGAGGCCGAGGCACGTGGATCACTTGAGGTCAGGAGTTCAGGACCAGCCTGGCCAACATTGCGAAGCCCCGTCTCTACTAAAAATACAAAACAATTAGCTAAATGTGGTGGCAGGTGCCTGTAATTCCAGCTACTCAGGAGGCTGAGGCACAAGAATTGCTTGAACCTGGGAGGCAGAGGTTGCAGTGAGCTGAGATCACGCCACTGTATTCCAGCCTGGGTGGCAGAGGGAGACACTGTCTCAAAAAAAAAAAAAATTATTTAAACAATTTTTTAAAAGGAGGCTCCTGACATACGCCACAATCCAAGCGAACCTCAAAGCACACAAGGCAATGGACACCAGGATAAAAAATCTGCTGAAACTGACAGCAGATAATGAGCGAGAGGCTCCCAGGCCCAGACGCCTCCCACCCAGGAACCGAAGGTGAGTCCTCCGGCCACTTTATGCCGTACCTTCCCACAGCTTCTGGTGCTGCTCTTTGGCCTCTTTCTCTGGCTTCTCGGCTTCTTCTTTCACTGTCCGCAGCATCTCCACCTGGTCTTCCAGAGACTTCTTCCCAGCCTGGAGCTCAACGAGCTTTTTCTGGGTGGGCAGAAGGCAAGAGACCGGCTCTCCTCGGTTCTGCCTCCTCCTTATTGACTACTACCTCCCCGCCTCTACTCCACAGGGCAGCAGGGGGATGTCGCAAAATACACACCAAGATGGGTCTCTCTCCCAAGCTGGGCTTCCCTGCAGCTCTCTGGAGAGAAGCCCAAACGCCTCAATGTAGCCCGCAAGGCCCTACGTAATCAGACCCCTGGCTGGTTCTCCAGCTCCATTTGCCCATCTCTATCTTACTAGGATCCAGTTGCCCTGACAACAGGCAGACCCCCCCAAACGCTCTTCTGCCTCCGGTTCTTCAAACATGCTGTTCCTTCAGCCTGGGACACTCTACCTGGCTAACTCCAAATTACCCAGCAGATTTCATCTGAGATAGAGGCCTCCTCCTCCAAGAAGCCTTCCCTGCCTCTTGCCCCCACGACAGAGAGGGAGAGGAACCGGGCAAGAAGTCTCTACCCCACATTTCCCTTTGTCCAGCAGCCCTGGCTGGCTGTCCCTCCCGCTAGCAATGAATCCCTTGAGGCAGATGCAGGTCGGTTTCCAGCCTCCCGTCCAGTACACAGGCAAGGCAGGGAGAGAGACATGCCTAGGGACCCCAAAGAACCCACCCTATGGAATTAATCCGGCTGCTACTGGCTGATGTTATCTTGTTAACATCAGCCCATCTTACAGGAAATGGCACCACAGAACCTGGATACAGAAAAGCAACCCTCCCGTCCCCAGGAGGCAGCCAGGCCCTTCTAGCCTGCTTTAATCTGATGTCCAAGGCCCTGATAAAGCTGACAGCCTTCCATTTAGGAACTATTATACTTAGCCAATGACTAAACGCCTAGCACACAACTGAGAAAGCAAAGCTCAGAAAGGCAGTCACTTGCCCCAGAACAGCAGTCAGGGGCAAACCCCTCCCCAGCCTTGCAGGCCCCTGCTAGGAGGCCTCGAGGCCCAGATCACCCTGCGGCAGCCCCCTCGGGCTTCTTACCTGCTTCTCCTCCCGCGCCTTCTTCCAGTCCTCAATAAGGATCTTCTTCAGGCGGAACCCCTCGCGGGTGACCTCGGCCATCTGCTGAAGGGACTCCCTCTCCTTACGGCCCTTCTCTCTGCGGTGGGGGGACACACAGGCACCACCAGAGGGGCACTTAGGCTCCACCAGGTCTGCCTCTTCCCAGATAGCTCAATCCAGCTGTGGCCCCCACCAAGACATGCTGGGAAAGATGAGAGCACACCCTCCTCCCAGTCTCCCAGGTTCTCTCAACATCAGCATCCTTCATTCCTGTCCCTGAAAGAGGGACAGTGGGTTCTGTAGGCCCCTGGGGTCAGGGAAGGGACTAGGGAGTGCCGGGAGGTGGGGATATCAACTCTCAAGAGACAGGAGACCGGCTGGGTGCGGTGGTTCATGCCTGTAATCCCAGCACTTTGAGAGGCCAAGGCAGGAGGATCACTTGAGCCCAGGAGTTCGCAACCAGCCTGGACAACATATAAAGACCCTGCCTTTACATATAATTAAAACAAACAAACAAAAAAACCACAGAAGACAGAAACAACAGAAATCACGACTCCCAGACAAAAAGACAATCTGGTTATTAAGTGTGTTGGTGGGCCGAGCGCCGTGGCTCATGCCTGTAATCCCTGCACTTTGGGAGCCCGAGGCGGGTGGATCACGAGGTCAGGAGATCGAGACTATCCTGGCTAACACGGTGAAACCCCGTCTCCACTAAAAATACACACACACAAAAAATTTAGCCAGGCGTAGTGGCGGGCACCTGTGGTCCCAGCTACTCGGGAGGCTGAGGCAGGAGAATGGCGTGAACCCAGGAGGCAGAGCTTGCAATGAGGGGAGATCACACCACTGCACTCCAGCCTGGGCAACAGAGCGAGAATCCAACTCAAAAAAAAAAACAAAGTCTGTTGGTTGTGTTCAATCTACCTTCTACTTAACAGATGTGGAATCCAGAGAGTTTACTGCCAACAACTGATAGGACTTTGGTTTTTTTTTACTTTTTAGCTCACTGCAACCTCTGCTTCCCAGGCCCAAGCAATCTTCCTGCCTCAGCATCCTGGGTACCCAAGACTACAGACACACACCAACATACCCAGCTAATTTTTAAAAAATTTTCAGCCTGGCACGGTGGCTCACGCCTGTAATCCCAGCACTTTGGGAGGCCAAGGCGGGTGGATCACGAGGTCAGGAGTTCGAGACCAGCCTGGCCAATATGATGAAATACCGTCTCTATTAAAAATACAAAAATTTAGCCGGGTGTGGTGATGGGTGCCTGTAGTCCTGGCTACTCGGGAGGCTGAGGCAGAAGAATTGCTTGAACCTGGGAGGTGGAGGCTGCAGTGAGCCAAGATCGTGCCACTGCACTCCATACAGCCTGGGCAACACAGTGAGACTCTGTCTCAAAAAAAAATTTTTTTTCAGAGAGATGGGTCTCACTGTGTTGCCCAAGCTGGTCTCAAACTCCTGGGCTCAGGTGATCCTCTCGCCTCAGCCTCCCAAAATGCTGGGATTACAGGTGTGAGCCACGTGCCCAACCAGTAATTTTTTAAATTATAATTTCCAATTTTTATTTTTACTTTTTATTTTTCTTTTACTTCTTATAGAGATGGGGTCTCGCTCTTTTGCCCAGGCTGGTCTCAAACTCCTGGGCTCAAGCAATCTTCCTGTCTCGGCCTCCCAAAACGCTGGGATTATAAACATGAGCCACCATGAGCTGGGCCTTATTTTTATTTTTTCATGTCAGACAGGTAATGTGCCAAGGTCACAACAACGTTTAAGGGAGGCACATTTCTCACACGTGCATAAAAAACTAATCATCGTGGCCAAGCGCGGTGGCTTAGCACCTCAGCGGGAGGCTGAGGTGGGCAGATCACCTGAGGTCAGGCGTTCGAGGCCAGCCTGGCCAACATGGTGAAACCCCATCTCTACTAAAAATACAAAAGTTAGCCGGGTACGGTGGGGCACACCTGTATTCTCAGCTACTTGGGAGGCTGAGGCGTGAGAATTGCTTGAACCCAGAGGGCAGAGGTTGCAGTGAGCTGACATCACGCCATTGCACTCCAGCCTGGGCGACAGAGTGAGACCCCGTCTCAAAAATAAATAAATAAATAAAAATAAATCATCGTGCTTATGAACTATAAAAGGATCAGTTGGCAGGAATTGAGAACAGCTGTTCCTCTAGATGCCACAATCCCCATCCCTCCTTATTGTCTCATACTCAGTCTCCTTCTGTTGTATACTTTTTTGTGTGTGTGTGTGAGACAGAGTCTCGCTCTGTCGCCCAGGCTGGAGTACAGTGGTGCGATCTCGGCTCACTGCAAGCTCCGTCTCCCGGGTTTACGCCATTCTCCTGCCTCAGCCTGTAGCTCGGACTACAGGCGCCTGCCACCACGCCCGGCTAATTTTTTTTGTATTTTTAGTAGAGACGGGGTTTCACCGTGGTTTGGATCTCCTAACCTCGTGAACTGCCCGCCTCAGCCTCCCAAAGTGCTGGGATTACAGGCGTGAGCCACCGCGCCTGGCCTCCTTCTGTTGTATACTTTACCTGCCTGTGGGTGTATAGGTTTTCAGGGCCCACTGCAGATTGTAACAATGGAAAGTTTAGAGTCCAAGTGCCGGCTCTGCTCTCTCCTGTGTGACCCTGGGGAAGTCATTTCCCTTTCTAAACTTGAGTTCCCCCATCTGTTGAATTGGGAAACAATCCTACCTGCTTCCACACTAGAGGGAAAGGTGGGGATTAGGATTTACAAGGCACCTGGCACAGACAGAGCACCCGATACAGAAAAGCAGAGAGAGAGCGGGCCTGATTCACTGAGTGGAGCCAGGCAAAGTCGTGGAGTGGGGTGATGGGAGGGGTACTGTCACCCACATACTTGCAGGTGTTCTCACAGACGATGCCGCTGTTGTACTCGTCTGTTCCATCGCAGCAGTCTGCGGCAGAGGCAGAAGCCAAGATCAGACCTGGCAGTGCCTCCACCCTCCCTCCCTCTACCACCTTTCCAGAATCCTGGTGCATCGTCACTTACCACAAACACCATCGTTGACCCGGTTAGAGGGGATATACAGGGGCTTATAGCCAGTGTTGGTGCAGTGGAAGCTGCCGTTAGGACAGGCAGCCGTGCCTGTGAGGAAGAAGGGAGGGAAGGTTTTCAGTCAGGTGAGGGCCAGACGTGTCTCATCCATCCACAGACAAGAGCCCCCGACCCACCCTGCACACAGAGAGCACAAGAAAGACAAGGACCAAAAGAAAGGGAAGAGTTGTACCCGGCACACCCCGGGCTTGAAACAAAGCTTTCCAGTGCTGCCTCCTGCCTCTTCTCACTGAGGTCCTTCAAAACAGGGTCTCTGCCTGGCACTGTGGTTCATGCCTGTAATCTCAGCACTTTGGGAGGCCGAGACGGGTGGATCACCTGAGGTGATGAGTTTGAGACCAGCCTGGCCAACACGGTGAAACCCCGTCTCTACTAAAAATACGAAAAATTAGCCGGGCGTGGTGGCGTGTGCCTGTAATCCCAGCTACTCAGGAGGCTGAGGCAGGAGAATCGCTTGAACCCGGGAGGCGGAGGTTGCAGTGAACCAAGATCGTGCCACTGCACTCCAGCCTGGGCGATAAGAGTGAAACTACCTGTAACCCCAGCACTTTGGAAGGCCAAGGCAGGAGGATGACTTGAGCCCAAGAGTTCCAGGCTGCAGTGAGCTACAATCATGCCACTGTACTCCAGCCTCAGCAACACAGCAGGACCCTGTCTCTTCAAAAAACAGAAAAACAAAAAGCCAGGGTTTCCCTTCACCTCTGTCTCCTGCTGGATTGCTCTTGGCCCCACCCTGTCTCCCACTTCCAGGGGTTTGCCCATGTTGGCCCCTCCATCTGCAGCACCCTCAGGATTCAACTGAAACCTCACCTCCTTGGAGGAGCCTTTTCTGACCCCTAGACTTTGGAGTAGGACGACTCTGGACTCCTCCAGCTGCCCGGGGCCATAAGACTGACCACTGACCACTGACCACTGACTGCTGGGCTTGTTTCTGCCCACTCAAGGGGGAGTCAGCATAGGGAGTATCTTGGTCACACAGACAGGGCCTGGCACTGAGCAGCGTTCAATAAATATCTGATGAATGAACAGAGAAAAGGCTCACCTGGCTCGTCAGAGCCATCTTTGCAGTCGCAATAGTCATCGTTGACCTGATCGAATGGGATGGTGGCCGAACCGTCCAGGCAGGTGAAAGGCTTGGACTCATCATAGAAGTGATGATCTGTGGGGTGCAGGAAGCTCAGCCCAGGGCAGGAAAGCGCCTTCTCCACCAAATACCACCTCTGTCCTCCCACCCCCACCAGCGGAGCACTACCGGGAAACTGAGGCAAAAGGTTGTAAATGCCTATCCCCAAGGCCCAATGTTGGCCCCTCCCACCTCCAGCCTGGCGGGAGGGTGAACAGGAGGACTCACTGGTGAGGGAGACGCCCCGGGGCCTCTTGACCTCCACGGCCCAGCACACGGGTAGCAGCAGCAGGAGCGGCAGCAGCATCTCGCCAGAGGCTCTGAGGCCCGAAACGGGTTCTGTGGGAGGAAGCCGAAAGCGGGAAGATGCGCTGTGTCTTCACGCTGCAGGAAGAAAGGGGATCCCGGTCAGTGGGAGAGGGCTACTTCCAGCCAATTGGATTCCTCCATGGCTTCCAGGCAATGAGGCCTCACTTTGTTTCCGATATGGGGGCGAGAGGCAGCGATCTCCCCAATCCTGGCCAGTCTCACTTTGCTCAAATCAATGGCGAGGATCTCAAGATCTCAAAACCTCCGCTCCCTGTGCCCAATTGTGACCCAATTCCCGCCAACAGGCCAAAGGGGTTAACAGTTTCCGCCATCCACACCCACACATGCACCCTCCGGTTGCCCCCTGCAGGAAACTGAGGTGCCCTCCCACCCGCTAGTTCACACATACACGAGGCCGGAGCAAAGGTCAGTATCCACCGCTCCCCTCTTGTCCGGCAGCCACGGTTCCTGCTGCAGAAAGAAAGCGGAAATGTCTGGACCCGTCACTTCCGGTCGTACGTCCCGCACGGGGAACGGGGAGTCAGGGTAGCCATGTTGGGAGAGTCAGGAGTAGGGGCGGTGCCAAAGCCGAGACGGCCATCTTGGGCAGGACTGTGAAGCCTTAGGATGGTTCTGGGGGCTAGCTCTTAATGGCGGCGCAACGTACCTCCATCTTGGGAGTGGCGGCTTCTCAAGCCGGAAAGAAAGTTCCTGAAAAATGCCCACGAACCCCCAGGGGCGGGATAAGGTTGCTGGGGGCTGGGGTAAGGAAACGGAATGAGCACGTGACCCCAAAGTGCCCAGATCATCTGTCCTGTAGCGCGGCTCTGCCCCGCCCCTCTGTTGGGACCGCCCCTCTATGCAGCCTCAGCCAATGAGAACGCACTGTCAGCCACGGAACGCGGGTGGTCTCCATGGAAACACTGGAGGGAGACGGGAGGCGGTTACCTAGCAACCGAGAGATGCAGAGAGCAACCACCTAGCGGTCGGAAAGTGCATTTTTCAGAGCCCTAGGAATCCGAGCTGACGGATCCCTGACAGGAGCGACTGACTCCTAGTTGTCCCCCTAATCCCTAGGGGCCTTCGGCCCCAACCCCATCATGACATCTCCCCTGTGCAGGGCGGCCTCCGCCAACGCCCTGCCTCCTCAGGACCAGGTTTCGACGCCCTCTTCCAAGGTCAAGGGCAGGGAGGCTTCGGGCAAACCCAGCCACCTCCGAGGCAAGGGAGCAGCCCAAGCCTGGCCCCCCGGCCGTTCCAAGGGAGGATCCTTCCACAGAGATGCCGGGAAGCCCTCTGTGCACGCTCAGGTGGCTGAGTTACATAAAAAGATACAACTGTTAGGTAAGATGGCTCCAGAGGGTACAGAGGGTCAGGGGTCAACAGTGCCCATCCAATCTTCTGACCAGGCATGGTGTGACAAAGATTTCTCCAGCATGAGTCTAGGTGAACAGTTTCTGGGCAAAAACTCATACTTGATTCATGTTTTTCCTCCTCTCTTAAAACTTCTCATGAGTTCAGAACCGAGTGAACTGTACTTCATACTTTCCTGTAATTTATTTTCTCTCTCTCTCTCTTTTTTTTTTTTTTTTTTTTTGGCAGAAATCTCACTCTGTTGCCAGGCAGGAGTGCAGTGGAATGATCTGGTCTCACTGCAACCTCCGCCTCCCAGGTTCAGGCAATTCTCCTGCCTCAGCCTCCGGAGTAACTGGGACTACAGGCGCGCAATCACGCCCAGCTAATTTTTGTGTTTTTAGTACAGAGGGGTTTCACCGTATTGGCCAGGGTGGTCTCAATCTCTTGACCTCGTGATCCGCCCACCTCAGCTTCCCAAAGTGCTGGCTGGGATTACAGGTGTGAGCCACTGCACCCGGCATTTTTTTTTTTTTTTTTTTTTTAGACAGGGTCTTGGCCGGGCGCGGTGGCTTACGCCTATAATCCCAGCACTTTGGGAGGCGGAGGTGGGCGGATCACAAGGTCAGGAGATCGAGACCATGGTGAAACCCCGTCTCTACTAAAAAAAAACAGAAAAAATTAGCCGGGCGCAGTGGCGGGCGCCTGTAGTCCCAGCTACTCGGGAGGCTGAGGCAGGAGAATGGCGTGATCCCGGGAGGCGGAGCTTGCAGTGAGCCGAGATTGCGCCCCTGCACTCCAGCCTGGGCGACAGAGCGAGACTCCGTCTCAAAAAAAAAAAAAAAAAAAAAAAAAAAAAGACAGGGTCTTGCTCTGTTGCTAGGCTGGAGAGTAGTGGCATGATCTCGGCTCACTGCAATCTCTGCCTCCCAGGTTCAAGTAATTCTCCTGCCTCAGCCTCCTGACTAGCTGGGACTACAGGTGCATGCCACCACACCTAATTTTTATATTTTTAGTGGAGACAGGATTTCACCATGTTGGCCAGGCTGGTGTCGAACTCCTGATCTCAAGTGATCCACTGGCCTTGGCCTCCCAAAGTGCTGGGATTACATGTGTGAGCCACTACGCCCAGCCTTCTTTCTTTCTGACAGGTTCTTGCTCTGCTGTTCAGGCTGGAGTGCAGTGGTTCGATAATAGCTGGGCTCAAGCGATCCTTCCACCTCAGCCTCCTGAGTAGCTGGGACTACAGGCATATGTCATTGTGCTTGGCTAATTTTCTTACATTTTGTAAAGATGGGGTCTCGCTATGCTGCCCAGGCTGGTCTCGAACTCCTGGGTTTGAGCAATCCTTCCTCCTCAGCTTCCCAAAGTGCTGGGGTTACAGGCATGGGCCACCGCACCTGGCCTGAGCATAGATTTTAGAGCCAGATTTTCTGGGTTGGAATCCTGACTCTGCATAATAGTTGTCAGCCTTAGGGGACTAAGAGTAACCTAATTGTTCTCAGTTTCTCCGTGTGTGAAATGGGGATAGTAACGGTACAACATAGGTACCTGAAATGTGTAAAGTACTTAGAACAGTGCCTGGCACATAGCAAAGTACCATAAGGTGTAAACCAATGGTTCTTGTTAGAAAAGGGTTAGTTTGCCCCACAGTGGCCATTTGGCAATGTCATAAGACATTGAAACCAGCATGGCCAACGCGGTGAAACTCTGTCTCTACTAAAAATACGAAAAATTAGCCAGGCATGGTGGCGTGCGTGTCTGTTGTGGGTGTGTGTCTTCCACTGGCATCTAGCGGGCAGAGGTGAAGGTGCTGCCCAACATGCTACAAAACACAGGAGAGCTCCCCACAGCAAATAATTATTCGGCCCAGTTGGTCATCCTGAGGTTGCAGAATCCTTGTGTGTAAGCCATTATTATTGTTTTTGTTGATATTATTAAGAGGTAATCATGGCTGTGCGAGGTGGTTCACGCCTGTAATCCCAGCACTTTGGGAGGCCAAGGCGGGCGGATCACGAGGTCAGGAGATCGAGACCATCCTGGCTAACACGGTGAAACCCCCTCTCTACTAAAAATACAAAAATGAGCGGGGCGTGGCGGCGTGTGCCTGTAGTCCCAGCTGCTGAGGAGGCTGAGGCAGGAGAATGGTGTGAACCCGGGAGGCGGAGCCTGCAGTGAGCTGAGATCGCACCACTGCACTCCAGCCTGGGCGACAGAGCGAGACTCCATCGCAAAAAAAAAAAAAAAAGGGTAATCTTGCACGGTTGCTTGTGACCTTAAGCAATTTAATCAGCCCAAGCCTCTGTCTTCTCATCTGTGCAAGGCGTACGATATGCCTATGCATATGGATACCTATTGGCACATGATATATGGCATTTGGAAACCTCTTAGTCCAGCATCCAAAACATAATAAATGCTCAAAGTGAAGTACAGTTGATCCTTGAACACCATGTGTTCACGTATATCATTCATCCTTTCAAGTTTAAAAAAATTGAGATGGGCAGGCCGGGTGTGGTGGTTCATGCCTGTAATCCTAGCACTTTGGGAGGCTGAGGCAGGAGGATTGCTAGAGGCCAGGAGTTCGAGACCAGCCTGGGCAACATAGACCCTTGACTCTACAAAAAATAAATTAGCCAGATGTGGTGGCACATGCCTCTAGTCCTAGCTACTTGGGAGGCTGAGGCAGGATGACTGCTTGAGCCCAGAAGGTTGAGGCTTCAGTGAGCAATGATAGCACCACTGCACTTCAGCCTGGGTGACAGAGCAAGACCCAGCCCCAAAAAAGAAAAGAAAAGAAAATACAACAGTCATGGGATGCAAAACTTGAGTATACAGAGGGACAACCGTTTGTATCTGCAGTTTCCACAGGGCTGACTGTAGGACTTGAGTATGGAAGGATTTTGGTATACTCGGATCCTGGAACCAATTATCTGAGTATACCCAGGGACAGGGGTTTTGTTTGTTTGTTTGTTTGTTTGTTTTGAGATGGAGTCTTGTTCTGTTGCCCAGGCTGGAGTGCAGTGGCAGGATCTTGGCTCACTGCAGCCTCCACCTCCAGAGGTCAAGTGATTCTCGTGCCTCAGCCTCCTGTAGCTGGGATTACAGGCACCTGCCATCATGCCCAGCTAATTTTTGTAGAGGTGGGGTTTCACCATGTTGGCCAGGCTGGTCTTGAACTCAGGCAGATGACCTCAGGTGATCCGCCCGCCTCTACCTCCCAAAGTGCTGGGATTACAGGAAAGAGTCATTGTGCCCAGCCTCACACCTGGCTAAGTTTTGTATTTCTAGTACAGATGGGGTTTTACCATGTTGGCCAGGCTCAGGCTGATCGACGACTGCATTCTTACAATATTAAGTTGATGAGGCCGGGCACAGTGGCTCACGCCTGTGATCGCAGCACTGTGGGAGGCCGAGGCGGGCAGATCACCTGAGGTCAGGAGTTCGAGACCAGCCTGACCAACATGGTGAAACCCCATCTCTACTAAAAATACAAAATTAGCCAGGTGTGGTGGCGCATGCCTGTAATCTCAGCTACTTGGGAGGCTGAGGCAGGAGAATCTCTTGAACCAGGGAGGCAGAGGCTGTGATGAGCCGAGATTGCACCATTGCACTCCAGCCTAGGCAACAAGAGCGAAACTCTGTTTAAAAAAAAAAAAGTTGATGATTGCAAAAAAGGTCTTCCCTCTGGGATATTGCACCCACCCACCCAGCCTCCCAGTAACTGTGTGTCTGTCCACTTCACCTGCCTGACAGAGGGTGACCGGAAGGCTTTTTTTGAGAGCTCTCAGTGGAACATCAAGAAGAACCAGGAGACCATCAGTCAGCTCCGCGAGGAGACTAAGGCACTGGAACTAAAGCTGCTGGACCTGCTCAAGGTAAGGGGCTCAAGGGTGGATGGAGGGTTCCTGTGGCGGGGATTGGGGGAGCAAGGAGGTAGCACCTGGCCTCAGGGGGAAGAGACATGCTGAAAGGTGACCAGACTTCCCTCCTTGCAGGGAGATGAGAAAGTTGTCCAGGCAGTGATTCACGAATGGAAGTGGGAGAAGCCATACCTGAAGAACAGGACAGGCCAGGTTTGCCCACCCTCACCCCACCTCCTCCTTCATTTCCAGCCTGGGTCCCCTCACCTATGAACTCCAGGCTCACCCTCTCCAATCCTTCCTGCACAGTAGCTGCCATTCGTATGCTCATTCAATTACATATTTATTACTAACTGTCCTTGTATCTGGCATCCTGGCATGGTAGTAAATGCAGTGAAAAAGCAGACCAAGTTTCCACTTCTAAAAGCCGCTCATGGCTGGGCGTGGTGGCTCAAGCCTGTAATCCCAGCACTTTGGGAGGCCGAGACGGGCGGATCACGAAGTCAGGAGATCGAGTCCATCCTGGCTAACCTGGTGAAACCCCGTCTCTACTCAAAAAAT